TTTTTTACTACTGTAGTGATGTCTTGGTTATGGGTACGGGTAAACCGATCCTTTTATTACTCATTATGCACAAAGCACATTTTTGAGCCTTTAGATGTTATGGGGTCTTACTGTGTGGTAATGGAGTTTATTTGTATGGATTTACCTGCAGTCTCCAAATATAAGCCTTTCGTCAAATCCTCCCGTCAAAGAATGATTCGAAATGTTCATATGAATATAAATATGGGCGAGAATATGTGCATGCTGTGGTAGTAATTGAATTTGAAATAAATCACAAAAGAAGCTCATCTTGCAGTTTTACTGCTGTCCTCATCAAATACTTCCTGGTTGAGAAGCTCCACTCGGTGTTGTCACAATGTTAACTTTTTATTTGCTGCCTAGCATAGTTTTTCACTGCATTGTATAATGGACTGTGATTTCAGCTACAGCCTCGGTTTAGCTGGGTTCAATGCCGGTTTGAGCCCCCAAATCAGCCCCTCTGACAACATACCCTGCCATTAAAGGGTGATAGCTGATGGCACTGATCGATAAACTAGATGAGAGACAGGCGAAACGAAGGACCCGAATGGTGTGGTGATCAAACGCATTAGCCCCCGTTAAGGGTAATAGCGCGTTCGTTCCCTATCGCATACACCTGCTGTCCGGAGTTTTACAAATATCTCAGCATCACTGTGGTTGAAAGTGATATGTTGAAATAAAAGAATATCGCAATTTTCCACTCCGAAATGTTGGTATTAAAATGTATTGTATGTGTTACAAAGCTCATGATACCTCTTCAATAAAATCTTCAGGCAAAATCTACCAGAAATCGAATAAATTTCGGAATAATATACACGACTTTTAATGTTTTGTTTGCAAAGTTCTGGTGCATGGTGTGCACCATAGTGTGGTCAGCAGCGGCCGATAATCCCATGTGGCCACTGTTGTTTGCCATTTTCAACATGCTCTTCGTGTTCCTGCTAGTACTGGCTTGTTTGAGTGTCGAGGTGGTTTTTTTTGCTAACTTACTTTACTAAAATCGCTCAACTTCACATGAAGGAATACAGTAGTTCATTAAGTCGTTGTCTCGTATCCGTCTTCCATGAAAGCATTTTTTAATACAGTCGGTGACGACACATACAGTAACACTAAGACATGAACAGTTTAGGAAGACTATTACTATCCGTGTAAATCTGTCCATGTTGTTCTCGACTACTGAAAACGAGAGTGATTTTGCAGTATTTCCGTCTTCAAGTGCGAAGGGAAGACATAAGAACGGAGACGAGATACTTCGTGCCTTACACCTGGAGATATACGGTAATGTAGCCCAGTTTATAAAAATAACTGCTCAGTGGCACATTCGAAATCTTTCAACCATGGATTGATATTTGACTGCGCAAGATGTCCAAGCTGTTTTTCTTAGTTTATTATAGCTTCCTACTGACTTGGATACTTGGACGGTCCGTCTTCACCAGCCGTACGGACCCCAGCAAATATGCCATTCCTTCCTATCTCTCGCAATCGTAGTCCATAGTGGTGGTCTTGTTCGAGCATGGCAGCGCTTGCGAATCTCATACCGTGATCTGTAAAACAACTGCAGCTGCAGATACAGCTGATTAACTTTATTTACGAACACGTCCGCCCAACGTGTAGCTGGTCGTCCAAGAGAACGTTTGTGTTCTATTGGAGTCCACTTTACTGTTCTTTTCGCCCATCTGTCGTCGGCTCTTCCCATTATGTGACCGGCTCATCTATGTTTCGCTGCCGATGTATATTCTTCTGGGTCTCGAAGATGTGACAGATTTCGAAGGTCAGAGCTTCGCACTCCGGCTACATATTGAGAGTACCACTTGAATTTCAGAAGGCATCGTTCGAACGCTCTGTGAGTGGTGCGAAACATTCTTTACGTGGTTGAAGTATCAACCCACGTCTCTGCAGCATAACGGAGCGCTAGGAGGACCGTAGAATCGAAGAGTTGAGTGCGGATTTTCGGGGTCCTTCCATTGGTCGGTGGCTTCTTTGAGAGGCCCGAATGCGGCCCAAGCTACTCTCTTTCTTCTATCTAGCTCCTCGTTCATTTTGTTTTCCATGTTCATTGATCGCCCAAGGTAAACGTACGAGGTGTTCTCTGCAATAAGAGAGCTATTCAATTCAATTTTTTCGCCTTCGCACCATGGGTTTTTAATGAACTGGGTATTCTTTCGATTTATGCGAAGTCCGATCTCTTTCCCCACTTCCTTGAGCTTGTTGATCATCACTTCTGCTTCGCTAGTGCTTCTTGAGAAGATGACAATGTCGTTGGCAAAACGAAGGTTTGATAGGGATTTTCCATCAATACGTATGCCCTTCTCATCCCAATCGAGTGACTTCATTTCCACTGCAGTGTGGCACTGAGCAGCTTTGGCGATATTGTGTCGCCCCGTCGAACCCCTTTTCCTATGGGAATTGTAAGAGGTCGATGGAAAAGCTGCATTTTCTTAGTGCAGTTCCGATAACAGTCGGACAGAGTCCTTATTTAGGACGACTCCAGTCCTTGGTCGACGAGCGCTGGTAGGATTGCATTCGTTTCGACACTGCCAAACGCTTTTTAATAGACAACAAAGGTTAGGAGCAGAGGCAAGTGGTATTCCCGGCAAACTTCGATGACCCTCGGCACGATTTGGATGTGGTCCATGCAGCAAAATCCTTTTCGAAATTCTGCTTGCTCAATTGTTTGCTCCTCATCCAATGTCTTTAATATGCGTGAGAGGATAATGTTCGTGAAGGGCTTGTAGAGTTTACTCAACAAGCATATGAGACGACAGTTACGAAGATCCCTTCGGTCTCCTTTTCTGGGCAGGCCGACCGTGCGCGACGTCTTCCACTGGTCTGGGATTTTATCCCTTTGAAGATAGGCTATCATATGATCTGCGAGAAGTACATATAAATTGTTGTCTCCAGCTCTAAGGAAATTGGCAGTGATCCTATTGAATTCTGGAGTTGTACCTCTTTTCATGCTTTCTATCGCAACTCGAACCTCCGACAGAAGAATTTCAGGTGGCTTTTCTTCAGCGGAGATATTACGGCTCGGGACGGAGTTTGTGAAACGGAAAAGGTTGGTGTAGAACGTTTCCGCTCTTAATTCCATATCATGGCGAGAAGTTTTGACGATCCCACCTTCGTTCATCAGGGCTGACAGCGGAGCATTATAATCACACAAACCCCGACGGCATTTCTTCAGACTGCTTCTTCTCTCTGCTGCTTCCAGTATTTTCTTCTGCTTGTACCGCTGTAGATCTTCCTGCAGAACTCTTCGGCAACTGGCATTTATTACTAGCCATGTTAAACGTGTTGCAGTAGGTTCAACCTTCATTTTCCTTCTCTTTTCGGGCAACTCCTTAGTAGTGATGGAGATGCGATCCGATCTTCTTGCTTGAGGAACTGAGGCGAATTCGGCGCAGCTTTTCAATCCTTCGACAAGCAGCTCGTAGTCTTCGGTCGGGTCTTCTTTAATCTGCCAGTCACGTTTGGATAGGACTTCGTCCAGAATGTTCTCGTCGTATACAGCCTGACTCCTCGTGGTCGATGATATGAATTCTTTTCCGGCTTACGGCTAAATCGAATGTTCTAGCGAAGAAGACGATGATCGGAACCAGTACAGAATGACGGGACTACCGATTTGTCACATAGGCACCATCTTCTGTTTGTCAGAAAATGGTCGATCTCCGCATGAGTCATGCCGTTGGGAGGCTTCCATGTCCAACGGCGGCTTTCTTTCTACTGGAAGATCGAGTCTCCATGGAAGAAAGGTGCTGCTGGCAGAAGTCCTGCGAGACGGTTCCCATTCTCATTTTTTTGTCCTATTCCAAAATTTCCGACTCTGTATTCGTTCTCGTTGGCCTTTCCTATTCTGGCGTTGAAGTCTCCGACAACTAATTAATGATATGCTTTATCACTGCGGATGCTTTCCTCCAACTGAATACTTCATACTCATCAGCTGCGTCGGTCGTTGAATAATAGTTGATGATAGTGATCTTCTTATGATGCGGCAGTTGAAGACGGAGGACGGCTATGCGAGGAGAAAGGATCACGTATGACTCGACGAGATGGACAACGGACGGGTGGACGATAAAGCCTACGCTACCGACATTTCGTGACGGGGCCTTTTCTCCGCGGATCACAAGAGTCCCGTTGTTTAGTTGGCGTATGTCGGTCTTCCTGATTTTTGTTTCTTGTAATGCGGTCACATGAGAATTAATTCGATCTGCGGCTACAAAAAGGACGTGAAGATTTGCGTCTGTGGAGAGTGTTCTGGCATCATACGTGCATAGTAAGAAACAATCTACATGGCGCGTCGTGCGTGTGTTCGTAAAATCACGTTCCAATGACGTCCTGCGTAACCCGAGATTTTCTGGCCTCTCACCGGTCGTCTCACCGCCTGATGTCATAGACGGGGGCACTCAGTGTGCGGGGTGAGCCTATTGCTGGTCGTGCAACTTGGTCCTCCCTGGAGTTCTAACGTAACCTTACAAGGGCGTATCCAGGTCCTCACCACGATGTGGATCAGAGGGAAGTGTGTTTTCGGCGACGAATCCTTCGCTCGGTCTTCCTACTAGTTGATTCGGAGAGATGTTAAAACCGAAATCAGGAACGAAAGTAGGAATGTAAAAGTAACCGACCGCTTAAGGACGATGTAGAAGCCGAATACCAGCTTCCTATATAATCTATATTCAAACTGAGGGTGTATTCCTTATCTAAAGTGATCTACGTATATCCCTCACTGATTTACTCAACTGAGAAAAATGCGAGCGAAGTAGATAAGAGAGGAGATAAGAGATAAGCCAAAGAAAGATGGAGCAGTGACACTTGTAAAATTTTACAATAAGTGGGCATTAAAAACCTAATAGATTTGTTAAGTTAAAAATTTTGACTAACAAGAGCCATACCAACGATAAATATATTCTGAATTCAACAGCGATAGGTGGTATCAATCAGCGATTTTTACTGCTGCCTATAGCATGCATAATCTTTCCTAGTTCTGTTGGAGTTCCTACGTAGAGCTATCCATAGTTCGAAAATCGAAAAGCACCTCATATACTTGCATGTTTCGTTTTATTTTTATTTTACGCGACCCCTCTTTCATTGTGTAGATCCCATCAATTCTTTCACTCGTTTCGTTTCCTAGCACCCACCATTGACGACGGTCCTATTTTGCGTGTAAACAAGGCTATTATTTGAGGATCTTCCGTTTTTAACGGATGTCGTTGAATGCCGGTCGAGACGAATTTCTCTGGAGCTCTGATATAGATAGCCAAGTTAGAGTATACCCAACCTACATGTTTAAAGATTGCAAACCACTTAATTCTCCCAAAATATACCGAGGAGTTTTCTCGAGGAACTATGGAGATGAAATGCAGTCGACTGTAATTCCATCATTTTAGGAAACTATCACATACCTGGGCGCGTGTAACGCAGTCGTCAAAGGCATCCTGCAACACACACGTGGAATCGATCCCCGCGTCTATGGCTTACCAAGCCTTCCATCTCTCTGGGGTCAGCAAAATGGTACCAAACTTGTCTCGGAGGATAGCATCAATACATCGGTGGACCACCGCGAGTCATTGTAAAGGCAAGATATGCATTCAATCACCTCTAAACGGTGCTCAATGAAGTCGAGTGAACAGCGCAGCTCTAACGAAAGCGATTGATCAACGCCGAGAGCTTTATCCTCTTTTACCCTTCTATCACATACCTATAAGTGTGTCTCAAGAGATAGTGCTGTAAGTTATTAGTGCGACAGTATCCAACATTACATTACAACAGTCTGCTACGTCACTTAAGTACTGAGCAAGTTATCCTCCAATTCCATGAAAAATGCTATCAGGACCAAAATCTCTATTCTTGCTGACATCCAACGCGATGTTTTTCAACTCCAACTAAAGCTTTTGAGCTTCCCTGCACTGGAATCGCGTTTAATGTTGAATGGAACCGCCGGTACAAAGTAGATACATTTAGCGTTTCAGATATGCGAAATACACATTGCTCGAGCCATTCTTCTCTGCGCCAACATCACTATCATGGCGTTCGACGACGACTTTGACGTTGGATCAATTATCGTGCTAGCCTTCACGCCTTTTCATATTATAATAGTTGGTATACATATCTTTAGCACTTTCAAACATAAAGGCCAATAATACACAATAAACTATTCCAAATACAATGGTGAGGGTGGTGAATGTCAAATAAGAGCCAGGTTTTTTCACATTCATCCTTTTTTGAACCGGCATTGCGTTGACAGCATATTAAAACGACAAGCGTTCAACTATAAAACCAATTATAACCTCCTACTCTGGAAAAGCTTTCCAACTCAGCTAGATAAAAGTGATAGCGAAATAGAACCATAAGGATGCTGAGATACGAACAGAACTTGAGGCTTCAAGTGGGCTTCGAACCCACAAATAGCTTTTCTGAGGGGCTTACGTGTTACCTATCCTTGTGGTTGTATCGTTGTGAGAACTAATGGAATTTAAAGAAAAAGAAATTCTTAAAAGCTAAGAACAGAACAACACTAGTCAAGGATATGTGCCTATGAAAAATGCTCGTTCACAATAAAGCAAAAGCATTAAACTCATTATTTATCGAACAAAAAACAATGAAAAGGAAAAGGATTTCGGTAACTTCCGAATGGGCTTAAGACAATAGCTACTAAGGTAGTCGTCTGAAATATCTTAATATAGGAACATGCAGCATTTTAAGAAGAGCAGAGGACTATTTAAGAACAGAGTTTGAGAGAGGTATAAAAACGTAGGAAAAATAGAGCAGTGACTGCCGTGACTTTCGTACAAATCGAAAACATGAGACAACCTGTAGTGGAAAAGAGTCGTGACAACTCAGAAACAGCTACAAACCGAATAAAAAGGAGGAAGCAAACACACCCGTATTGCGAAATAAATGAAAGCCCCCGCATGTCCAGAGTACCACAAAACTGCATAAACAAAGGCAGAACACTAACGCGTCTAAAATGAGAAGGAAGACTTCGAGTATGGAGACCAATAGACATCATCTCCGTGGTACTGGTCGTCCACAAAGACCCTCACCTTCTAGTTTTGATGAAGGAGAAAAAGGAGAAGACTTTACGCAGTGACAATCAGTCATCTGCATAAAGCGCTGTATCGCTGTAGTTACCCCTTGTTGGCTACATAAAATTCGTAGAAAACTAGCAGTGGATGCTCTTGAAGGCATGAAAAGTCCGAAAAAGAAATAAGAGGAAAAGCGCCCTGTTTTTGGAAATGTTGTGGTTATAATACAAAAGGCATAATGCTTTTCCTTTGCTCTTAAGGCGTGCTTTGAACAATTTAGTCCTACAGCTGATAAAGTTCTTATAAAACAGGTTGGAATATCACGCTGTCTCAACTACAATAAAGAGTAAATACAAAATCTATAGGTCTGGAAATCATGGAAAACCATTAGCTTTACTTTTGCAGTTTTTGTACTGTCTAGCTTGAGTGGTTTTCATGCAGCATTGACACCTATGGAGAACAACTCAGTTCACTTTTCCTGTTTAGTCCAAATATATTGCTTATCGCAGTAGAAATTTCGATTCCACAAATTCGATGGCAGTTAAAGAAAACATTCAACTGCTTTGCGAACATTTGAAGACAACTCAACCAGACAAAGATAATCAGGACTCAGAACAAGAGAAAATTCTAGGCCTAGTAAATCCTAAGCAAATAATAAACAAGCTCACTCAAGTACTCAAGGACTTAGGTTGAAATCGATCACTTCCTCTTCGTGGTCGACCACTAGATTGTCACCACGATGCGGGTTAACAGGAGCAGTGCGTGGTGGTTTAAAGAGTGGAAATTTTGACGATAGCAGAGAGACAGAAGAGGGCCTGGATGAGATAATATGCCTTATTTGTCTAAAATCATACACAAGTCACCAAACAAACAAGGAAGAAGTCTTGTTGAGAGCTGTCACCTTTCTTGAGGTCGTCGTCTCACGTAGATTTTTCTGTTTGCATGTTTTTCCCGAGTGACACCTCCATTGAAAATTCCACTCGTATCTTCAGCTTTATGCTTCGTTATTCTGGAATAATTCGTAACACGAGCATAACTATACATGTTTGTCAAGTCTGCGTGAAGATATGCCTGGTATGTTACTAGCCGTTTTCATAACACAGAAAAAAGGGTCAAATGTATGCGAACAGAAGAATTTCTTCAAAAAATCCTCCGGCTCTCCGGAGGATGTCACTACATTGTTCTCAGAAAATGAGCCCACGAAAGACTCCATTCAACCTTGGTTGAAGTATTACACTCAGCTTGCTTATTCTGAGCCTTTTGTAATAAATGGGTGGAGATCGTACCTGATCATTTCAGAACCTCCGCTTGGAGGGCATTTATGAGCAGCACCAGGACGGAACACCTGCTCAGCGCAAGCTCCTTCGCAGTCAGGGTGAACTGTCCACCATGAACCGGCTTCATTCATTATTAGGTAATTCTTGCGAGGCTCAAAATGATACACTACATTTAGACGCTAATTTTATTGCTACATATAAAATTCCAAATTATCATTACTACGAACATTAACATCGTCAGCGGTTAAAATTACATTAATAATATAAGCTTCTCCACAGTTTATTCTTATAGGAGCACAGCGGTTAGAAGTGGCTTGAAATACACAACCGATCTGTCTCTGGTTCGACCCCGCTCCCTGGGCCCAACAACCCTTCAATTCCTTCGGTGTCCGAAAATTGGTACGAGATTTGTCTGGCAGATACAAATACTGATCAGAAGGGCATTGCATGTATGAGTGAGACATGCATTCAATCACCTCGACGATGCTTGATGAAGTGAATGGAGTATCTCTCAAGATTCGGTAAACGCTAGACTTTATGTATTCTTTCTTTGATGAGCTTACACATATTACATATTACATATTGATTGACATATTGAATACATATTGATTAGTGATGCCGAGGTTCAAGGAAAGTCGGTTTTGAAATGTTGCTAGACTTTATATTATAATTTACTAGTTTGCCGCCGAAAGAGGTACTAATGGATGTCAAACTGCAACGTATTGTAGAGACTTTGTCTTCTACTGTCTATCCTTTATCCAAGCAGGATATGATTTCGATACGGCCATCCGAAACCAATCCACAGGTATTTTCATACTAAGAATAGCCGTGCACTAGAAGAAACCTTCGCTCAAGGCGTTAATTCTCACTCAGATTCACAAACGTTGGTGACTTTGCCTACATTGAAACATGAAGCTAGGCTCTCTTGGAAACTACAATACGCGAAGAACATCCATAACCAGAATCGAAAACAATGGGAGAATGTGAAGCACGCGCAATTCCTATAGACGGGTCACTTAGAAATTTAATTGAGCAACAACTTCATACTATTGCAATCAAAAGTACAAGAATAAAGGATAAAGCTCTGCGTGTTGAACCTTCCTTGACAGTGCGCAGGGAGTTCCAGGGACAGGGTTCCAGGGCGCAGGGATGCAGTCGGGTTCCATTAAACGTAGCCGAGATGACTGAATACATACTTGGCGAATACAATAACTTGCGATGATCTGCCGATGCACGAATTCAATGTTTTTATATTTCAAGGTTACTGTGGTACAAATTTACCAAACACGGAGTAATGGAAAGCCTATTTTGTTGTTCTGGGCGTGGGATTGAAGTAACGACGTTGTGTCTATTCTTGGAAGCCTCTCACACTGTCAAAATGGCGCCATAATGAAATTTTATGTATCATTACGATCATCAGCATTGAATAAGTTCGAGCTTACATTAGGAGTAAGAACGCGAACGAATGCAATTGATGACATCAGACAATGCCGAATGGATTGACGCCAATGGCGATCATGAGCTGAAGAAGGGTTCTGAAAGATATGGATTAGACAGCAATCTACATCTAATTCTTGAGCGGACAATTTCAGTTCTCGAAAATTTCGACGAAACTCACGGTATTCTCAAAAATTTCGAATACTGCGATCAGAGGCAGCGCTCGGTACTCAGAAGTAAGGAGAGTGCGGAACAGCCAGCATACCATCGAACAATCGTGGGTGCGTTTCCGAACCGTAATGAAAGGGAAGTGCAGAACGGATTGATAGCTGACACGGTGATTTTCACCAGAGAAACACTTTGAATTCTTGGCAAGCATGGAATGGTTTAGAGCTAAAGCAGGGATAGTTTATCTAAACAAGATACCGGAACGACATTAACAAAAAAGAAAACATTTGCGCATTGTTGTTTCTAAAGTTGATTGAAGGTTTAGTTCTTACTACTTCTGCTCAGCAATTAGTTCTTAATTAATCAGCTTATCCTCCGCTTTAGCAGGTTCAGCGAATTTCCAAACACTTTGATTGTTATTTGTATGCTCCATTTTTCATTACACAACAGAATTAGCTAGCCCGAATAATTTTAGGGAATAACAATGAACGGAACGTGGGTAAGACCTACTCGTTGTAGACCTTCGTGTAGGAGTTACAGCTGCAGAACATATCTGGTCATCAACATCTATAGCAGGCATTGTGGGATCTGGCATTCCTAATTGTGGAGAGGGCAGCTGATCGTATGGGAAAGTCCAAAAGGAAGCATCTGAAAGCGCAACATCAAATCAATGAACCGATCAGTGGTAAAAAGGTGTAGAAGTTCTTATGTTATCTGCTGACCAGATCAAACGCAACATTTTATTGCCTAAGTGGTTGCATCTACCATATTTTCAAAAACAACTACAACAGTACAACTACTAAAAACAATCGGTACATATTGCAGTGCAGTACCTTGTTAGTATAGCACACATATGGCGCTATGGTCGGAGGCCCTTGCAACGCATACGTGGGATCGATCCCAGCGCCTCTGGCCCACTAATCCTTCCATCCCTCCGGGGTCGGCAAATTGGTACCAGACTTGTGTGAGAGGATAGCAGCACTGGCTCAATACACTGGTAGGGCACTGCGAGTTATTGTATAGGTCAGATATACATTCATTCACGTCCAAGCGTTGCTTAATGAAATCGAATACACGGTGTATCCATTAATCAACGCCGAGAGCTTTATCCTCTTTTATCCTTTATCTCGTTAGTTAGGGTAAACACGAAGTTCTGTCAAAGATTTCAATTATTTGTAATCCATTCACTCGAATTGCAATTGTACGTGCTAAAGCAGGATATTGTCGTGGACCTACATTTGACTATGAGTCAGTTGTATCGCCAACTGTGCTTAATAAGTAGAATAAAACATTGCTCATTATTAGACCTACGAAAAGGAATGAATATTCTAACTTAAAGATTTCCAGAAAAAGTTGGCAATGAGCCGTATCACCCACCGCCCTGTTGATCATCGCGTGACTCGACCGGCGTCAGCAAATCTTTCACTTCTCCCTGTCGCGAGTAAGAGTAACACAGTGAATTTTGTTCACTCTAAAGACTCCTTCAACAACATATCCTTCTTCTAGGGTTCTCGTGAAGAATTCCGAACATCTGCTCGCTGCTCTTCCTGCACTATGTTTGACATCCTAAAAAATCTAGCCAGTAACGGCTGTTGTTCGTCGGTTGTCGTTCATATGCATTATGTGTCCGACCTCCCTTATTTTGGACAGTTTGGTGTATATAACGGCGCTTCGACTTTCGACCATTGGCGTAAACGGTGCTTCGATTACCTTCCCTCTCGAACGATAAGGGATACTCCTATTGTTGTCCTTTCGATTGCTCTTTCAATAAGGTTGAGTGACTTTTCATCCTCCCTAAGTAGCGAGCAGGCTTCTAACGCATAGGTTAAGGAAGAAAGAATCGTAAAGTCGAAAATACGGACGCAGAGTTTGGTGTTCTTTGCCTTCTTCACTATATCCTTAATGTCCCTGGGAGGTCCCCAAGCTGCTCGCTTCCTCCCGTTCAACTCTAGGACCAAATTGTTCGTCATATTGGTTCCCGGCCTGGAGAGACGTACTGGAGCGTTCGGAGATAATCGTACCACTGACCGTGAGTGGTGTATACAAAATCAACTCCTTCCTCACAAACATCGTTTTTATAACATTTAGTCGACACCAGTGTTTTCACAGACATCATCAAAGTCGGCAAGAATTCGTTTCGCTTGGACAATGTTTGGTGTTATAAGAACGACCTCATCAGCAAAGAAAAGATGGTGTAAATGGCCACTATCGATTTTCACACTCATTTTGTAGCATTCCAGTGTTTGGTGAGATAGTATCAGCTGCCTAACCGCTCTTATGACGTTTTTGTTGTGGAATGGTTGCATGTTGGTGGTGAAATTTTCGTGTAGCCCACAAAAAATTGCTACATACCGCGTAGGATCGCTCCGGCCGCCCTCTAAGAATGGTCCACTTATCTGTGAAGCGAGTTGTCTATTTACTGTTTAAAAAACATTCTCTGCGTGAGGGATGTCGAGCTAATTAGCCCTGAAGCAATACTAAGTGGAGCATAAGGAGATGAGTTGTAGGATAAAAGGTGGTCATTAAACAAAGAAGCAGCTGGATAGAGGAAATGCTTCTTTTGTCTCTAGTGGTCGGATGGAGTTAAACCTAAAGCGTATAGACGTAATTTCATGCCAAAATTCGTAGATATGTCTGCTTATATTCACATTACGTCGTCCATATAGATTTTGTACTGAAATGATTGTGGAGTACAAAAGAGGCAAATTCGTGGCTGTCTCTTATAAACAAGCACCACATCTATCCCAAGAAGACCTAGTAAGCTGCTTGTTAGTACGCTGAGTTCTCACGACCGAGTTCAATAGACTGCTCTTAAGCACTATCCCGCTAAAAATAACAGAAGAGTAAGGCTTTACACGAATAAGGTGGAAAACGTTAATACTTTCCATTATGCCGGACGAAGCCGAGCAAATTGGGCTAATAGAGGCTCGCTGTAAGGATTGAATAGAGACTTTAATAGGACCCGCCCGAAGTACTCCACAACTTGAAAATATTAGTGACATTGGTGGTACAGATAATTATTAGTTCATAAGCATTGGGTCTCTAGCAGCATTTAGGTCAAAAAGCGAACCCCGAGAAGTAAATTGGAAAAAATCTTAACAGTTGCACTCGCTTGTCATCACCTTCAACGAGTAACACCAATATTCATTCGAGCAAACAACGCAGAGTTACCCTTTGGGGCGTTTTCGCCAAAAAACGATGAAAAATAAAAGGCTTCATGTGAGAAGTGTGACGTTTCTCCTGTCTCTCAAGTGAGGGAAGTTCACAGAATAGCTCTGCTACGTTGCAGTGGCAACAAAAAAAGACTGCTGGTGCAAGCATGAGCTACTCTGTAATAATCGAGCTAATACAAACGACTTCTTCTTTAGCTTCTTAGCTTATTAAGCAAATACGAAGTTGGCAATAGTTCTTATTTAGTTAACGTTTGGATGTTTCCTTATTCCTCAAAGCCGACTTAACTTGACGCGACAACGAGCAACTACATTGCGAGGACGACCGCCTGGTCATCGGTTCGGATCAAGAGGACTCTGAAGAAGACGAATACGTCGGAACGTCGGTCGAATAAAACTTATTACCAACCTAGTGTTTGCTTAATAATCCAAGAAACTATTGATTATTTGTGCCCAGGATGAACCAAGTCGGTTCTAAGAAACATTTGCTTCGTTCAGTTCGTGTATTTTGAATAGCGCTCACCAGATGAATCACAATCCAAATTTAGCGAAGCTTGACTGCAGAATGACGAGGAATATGACTCGGCTGTCAGATGAGACAACGGCGAGTCCGCTGGTGATTCGAAGCTGCACAACGTATCTGAGGCGAACAAAAATTCATTTTCATGGGTATCACAAGCACAAAGTACAGCTTTGTGAATGGATTGAACTGTGGACAAGTGACTTTACAGAATAACCGAGAAATCTGGAAAATATTAGCAGCCTATTGTTCTAAATGTCTGGGATCACTACCAGTTGCCGCGCGGTTTCGGCACTCAGTCGTCGTTTTTACGTTTTATTATCTCGCTTTTAACTCTTTTATGATAGCGACCATTTTCGCTGGCCCATCGCACAACGTGTAATTGAAGCGCAATTCAGATGCGCATTGAAGTCAAGGTGCACGGTCCGAAACTTGCAGCAACGTACGCTTTGAAATCAATATGCTTGGTCGTGAAAGAGTTAAATGAGATTGTTAGCATAAGGACACATGAACTGGGGTAAGGAGAACAATATTCACTAGAGAATTTAGAAAAGAACAGTGGAACAATTTTAAAATAATACAGACTGTTTTGTTCATCCTTATCACCATTTAGGTAGTTCCATCCGATACCGAAGTCATCGTCAAGGTTAAATGGAGGAGCGCAGGCCGAGAGCAACACCGATAACCCGCCTTCATACGAAGAACTCATCATCGCATCGTCCATCGTACCACACTGCAAACCACGATGAATGTTTCGTAAAACGGAAAAAAGAAAACCGAATGTACCACTATATACAACGAAGCAACGAACGTAATACTTCGAAATTTTCATGTGAAATGTTAAGATTCATTGATACAATCGTGACGACATGCATTGAATAAAATGCATATGTGGATGGCCTCAAAGAGCATGTATTGTTTCAACGAATTTTTCTTCCGCTTGTTTCATTTCCTTTACAGTTTTTTTCTACATGGCCAAACACATACTGAATAGTAGCTAAATAAATCGTAGTACTGCAACCGTCGTCTATAAATCTAGTCGAGGAGTGTGTTGCTTCGGCAGCACTTGAGCAAAAATCTCTAATTATTAACATCCGGTATACAGTTCAAGTCTGATTCTCCTTGGTAGATCCAGATAACCGTGTGTTAAAACATTCTCATACCATTACCAAGTACACTTGCCCATAATTCTGGATTAGTTAGAAGCTCGCTGCCTCGTGACTAGCATTCTTCCGTAGTGAAAGCCGCAGTGATTCCTGCGATTAATCGAGCAATCGCTCAAGGACAATGTGAAAAGCTGAGTTCATTAGGTATTAACATAATGCATCTTTATTTTTTAACTTTCCTAGGTCTTAAGACTCTTCTTGCTCACCAGTTTTAAAGTGTTGCCATATATTTAGTTCTAAACTGTACGCACCGTCTTTTGCATGCCACAACATTCTTCCCACATAGTTGAATTACATCAAAGTAGGAGAGTGCTTCCTTGGCGATTCAGGATATAACAGTATCTCATATGTTATTATGAAATCATCTTTCTAAACAATGCTCACTCTGCTGACATCAGTGAAGCATTTGAAAACAGTCACGATAAAGCTATTTCTTTGAGACATGACGAATTCGTTAGGTTTACAGAGGCTTCGGAATACCACTCTAATAATGCAAGTAAATTTTCCTACGTTATCCAGATAGATAGTACGAGGAAACCTCCGATCTATTTCAATCATGGATACAGCTCTTACCTCATTTGTGACGCTCCATTTGGTTTCGTAAGCTGTCAGAGATGATCACGGTCACGAATGTGTGCTAAAGAAAATCATGTCGATGACCTACTCTATGCTTTTCCAAAATCGAATGCTTAGGTAGTTCATAGCATACTGCGAGCAATGAATCAGGTATTAATGTACCTTCTTTACCTTTCTCATTAACCAACTGGACGTTAGAACAGGGCCTCACGAATTACGT